GCTGCATTTTCTTCCTTCAAGCACTCGTAAATGAGACTGAGGAAGGAGTTTAGAGGTGAAGTAGGAGATGAAATTTTATAGTTTTACTTTGAAGCTGGCTTTCGCTAGCTGAAAATAGTAAAAGCCACATATTTCTGGTGAGGCAATTTTTCATAATTATTATTCTTAGTTCTTTAGGTTAATTCTTTTACGCTTTAATGAAATTTAATTAATTTATGATATAAATAAACTATAACCCAGTAGGATGCACTTGTAAAGCAGTCTTGCACCTCTACACCGCAGTGTTACATTCCTTTGACTTGTACTTTACCTGCCTCAAGTCCACTATCTCAATCAGCGTGGTTACTCTCCTCTTTTTAACTCCAAACCCTCTTTTCAGATCGTTAAAGCTCCTGTCCTGACTCTGACTTGATACGCAAATTCTTTCATGGCCTTTACTATTGCCTCTTGCAAAGAAATGACACAAATACGGGTTCTTCACTTTCTAGCCAACTTTTATACTTTACGATGCACGTAACAATAATGTAACTTGCTGGGATCAGTAGCAAAATAAGTCCTCCAAAAGTTTGCTAACCTGACCTCATTCAAAGATTTCACACAACGTAGTTTTTCGCTAATGCACATTGTCTTTCCATATTGAGATCATTGGCATTTGATAGAGATCTTTTTGCAACGAGTTTAATGGGTATAAGGAAGCGCTATCATTTCAATTCAGCTAAAATTTACTGTTCCCTTTTCCTCTTCACCTCTATCCCCTACAGTTCTCTTTTTCCCATAAGCGATATGCACATACCTACGCAAAAATTGAAGCTGAAATACTTGAAACAAGTTCCTCAGCGGAGCAAGATGAGAACACAAGGTGAAGGAACTTCTCAGGACAGAACTACACAGCATGTTTTGTCTAGTCTCCATACATTTAGTCCGACTGGTAAGAGCATGGAAACCATCGAGGGCTCCATTCAAGTGATGTCTCCAATTATCATGGACACTATAAGAGATCTACCTCCCCTCGATTTGAAGGAGTTACAGCAACGACCTGGAACAAGGCAGATAATGCCTAGAACTGTGATATCTTATATCAGTAAGGTGAGTGGATTGAAGAAGGAAGTGCTTCTGGCCTCGAGGCGGCCTCCCTAGCTCACATCATACATCGCTTTTCAAGAAAACTATTACCCCATCGCAAAGAAGACTGGATTACTCTTGGCAATCAGCATGTGTGTATCTTTAGACAAGAGCACTGTAAGCAGTGCTGATTATTCCATTGAATTCCACATGACTTTATAGTGTTGGTTCAGCCCTATTTTCGCAACTTAGTTGGAGCGTCAGGGAGACCTTGCGGAAGGTAGCTAGTCCCAATTTGCTGGGTACATTCCCAAACACGGTCCAACGCTGGAACTCACGCATACCATAGCAGAGGACACGGGACTAGGCACCTTCCACAAGGTCTCTCTGATGCTCTACTCAAGTTGCGAAAACAAGGTCGAACTAGCACTATAAAGTCAGACCAGACTGCGATCAAACAGAAGGCCACACCCTTTTATCAACACACCTAGCAGGACTCAAACCATGACAGTGCAGCGTGTAATCTCTAAGCCTTAATCCCTAAGCCACATTGTCACGAGTCACCTGGAATCACAGGGCAAATGTGAATTTCAGAGAAGGCGAGACATTTTCTCATATCACAATCTTTGGTGGGATTGTCGATGAAGCAAAGTTATATTTACGAAGAAAAGTTGGGTTTCGAG